TTCAACCAAGATTAAGCAACTTGGATCAAAAATAGATCGTGTTCGGTCAAAATACACTTAGTTTCTATTCTGAATGATGATGTCGGAGGATAAAGAACGACAGAGATCAAAGTTGCAAACGAATCTTCACAGAAAACTTAGCACCAGATGAACCTGACGAACCGGACATAAAGCTTGTCAACATTCCCCCAACCCACCCTCATTACGAAGCAGCACAGCCTGAATGTAATATTCGTTTGGCCTGCTCGTAAAAAGACAATTGACTGATTAGTTCCTAATCTGTCACCAACGAAACGTTAGGCAGTACTTAGCTCACTCATCGGTTTTTAGTCTTTTCTGTGACGAACTTCGACCTTGCATATGCAATTTTTCTTTGTTTCTTCGTCTTGTCGCCTCCGACATCTTCATGAAGCCGTCTCTCTACCTGTATGCATATAGTTTTTTTGGTTATTCTAAATGTGCAATTGAATTCTGTTGATATTTGGACAGACTGCTAAGTGAAAACCCTTCAGGGAAATGCCTGGTGAACTGACAGGCACATATTGCCGTTTTTGGCATCCCCACATAAGCAGCAAGTGTAAATTGTTGTTGAGTACACATACAAGGTGTCTATACTGTCATTCTGTATGGAGAAAATTTCGACCCATTACATGTAGCACATGACGCGATAAGGAAAAGGAAACCTAACCGAATGCAGTCGTATGAAGTACAGATTCAAGAAAGCAGCTGACTTGACACAACCACCACTGGATTACGATATTCTCAGGGTGCTCATTCTACCACAAGACATCGATTATTTAGCAATATTTGGCGGAATTTTTACGGGCCATTTTTGCGTTTCGAAGAAGAACTAACAATTTTGCTTGTCGGAAAGATTTACTGCATTAAAGATGATTTGTACGCAAGTTGGCGTGCACCGCAATGAGCCCACTTCCGTAATTCATTGAGGGTAGGGTTCCTCGGGATGCTAAGCTAAACTAGTGCAGGTATGAGACAGTATCGGTTGGATATACAATAACTAACATTGTTTAACCATAATAGTTTTGATGTTTTTTTATTCATATTCCACCCTAAATATCCAGGTAGCTGAACATTGTTTATAATAGTTTTGATGTTTTTTTATTCATATTCCACCCTAAATATCCAGGTAGCTGCTTGGGAAAAATGTCATAACTGTCATTCATGCTAATCTGACACAAGGACAGGGAAGCTTCCTCATACTTATACCATCTAAACTGAACCTTAGGGAAGTTTTTAGTAGTGCGTCACAACTTTGAAGAGATTACCTTTCGAGATGATGATAATTGATATTAGGTTGCTCACGCTAACCTCGTAAAGAGTATTATTTTTGTCGTCAATAATCACACTTCGCTTCCCAGGACAGTCGACTTATGAGTGGAGACCCTTTTGGCTGTTCTCCTCAGGGGAACTGTTCAGAGTGGTTCGAGTTTACCGACAATATTCTCCCTAAACATATAAGATGTGTCATTATAGAAAGCCGATATATTTGCATCTGTCTCTCAGGGGCATCCAAATAGGGTGGTTAGTTTTGGCTGTGATGTGCAATACACAGAATGGCCGGCATGTTGTTTATGACGAACAATTATGATGGCGCTGTCCCATACATTATTACCCGTCAACAGCCAATTCGGATGATTGACTTCGTAGTTACTGAAAGCTATTCCTTACTTAAAGAGGGATGATGCTTCGATAATTTGTCCTTTTATACTCATATAGCGCACTTCATGGTAAAGATACAATACGAACGAATACCATCAGTGTTATAGTTTCGCTGTTTTATAAGGATGTTGATTTCCAATAACTCTCCATTCGTGGCTCTTGGATTCCCATCGATCGCCGGATATAGCTGAAAGTTTGAACATCCAGGGAGAGTTAGGTATAATCAGTAGTTTAGGAACAATTCATCTCCACATTATCAATTGCACCTTTTGCCTTAAGGGAACGAATCTTCTCGCTCATATTCTGTGCGTTTATTCCGAAGTTATGGATCCTAAACTGAAATCGATCAACAGTGGACTTTGCGCTGGAACTCACGTCGTCGTATAGACGAGCGAACATCCAGCGCTGTAATTAGAACCGTTCATTATACGTAAATGTGAATGACCATACACAGACGCGGAGATATTGGGGACGGAATATGATATATGCAGACATATCTCATTCTTTCTTATTAAGACCTGCAATCTACCGGTCTGCTGCAAGTTCTTTTTTAAGTCATTATGGTTGACCCCATAACATTATAGTTGTTGTTAAAATGCGTTTTGACGTTTCTGATGCTAACGAATATGTCCATCCTCAGCATCAACACTTTCATGAGTTGGTGATCGGCCGCAAAAGACTGAGTATTCTCATCTTCGCTCCGTGACTCTAGCCATGTCATGGCAGTTATAACGCATCTAAACGGCTGCAGCGCTTGCGTTTTACTGTGTCCTGTGGTTCGATTCATTTCCTCTTAGTCACAGCGGAATGAAGTCTGTACAAACTTTGGAGTAGAAGGTGGTGGCAACACCGTTAACCCGGTGCAACAGGAATAAAAATGTGCAACCGGGCATCAATATTCATTTGGCGTTTCTATGTCATATCGACGGAATTCCAAGCGGATAAGGTGATCCCGATCCCAATTCAACATCCTTGTCATTCATTTCAGCCGGGACGATATGCACATGGACAAAGTGAGAACCGCCCTCCATGGGACGAAACGAACCACG